TATCAATATAGTATAACCATGTCATGTAAACCCATTCCTCCTGCAGAGTGAAGTTAGCATTTTAAAAAATATAGTTTCAAGAAATAGTTGAGATTGAAGGGTTTTCCCTCAAAATCTTCTGGCAATAAGACTGTGAAGGAAGAAAATTAATACTATAGGGTGGTTTCACCATATAAAGTTTCAGCGTAGGCTGCTTTATAACAGGCATTTCCCTCACATTCTTGCGTCCTGAAGGAGTACAGGCACATGACACCTCATCAAAATGTAATGAGAGGACCCACACTGTCAACTGGGTGTCCTCATTTTGCCTTTCAACACAGTGTATCATGTAAGCGCAATTTTCTCATGAGCTTGTACTCCTTTAGGAAATATGTATGTGGTGGAAATGTTTGTTTGCAAGTGGGCCATATTAAAATGTTATTGCATATATCACAGAGAAGCTAGAAGCATTTGTACTTAACTACATAAAAGTCCATGTTTGCATATAATGGTTAACCAGGATTCCTGGCTTAGTTTGAATAAGCAGCGCAATGGTTGAAACAGCTTGCACTTCTTACTTTGTGTGAGGATCATGTCTGCAGCAGCATGATTATGTCTGAAACATTTACTACTATATAGTGTTTAAAATGTTTTAAAGCAATTTAAAATGTTTAAAAACAATGATTTTGGGTTGAAAAGATTAGCCGTTTACAAGAAACATTGCCCAGGGGACGCTCGACTGTATTTACTCAGTCTTTTAGGAGGCTCTTTCCGTGCCCTCGCGAAACAGGTGAACAAAGCACTGAAAGAAACATGCAGAATAATCACAGGATGTCTTAAACCTACACCTGTTGATAAACTCCACAAGCTAGCTGGCATTGCCTCCCCCCCTCACCCGCCTCAACCAATGTGTGACAAAAAGTTGCTGCTAACTATGAGAGAAATAAGGTTGAACACTGTGAAAGTCATCCTCTGCATGGCTATCAGCCTCCTCCCAGTAGACTCAAATCAAGGAAAAGCTTCATGAGAACCACCACTCCTCTTAATGTTTCCCCAGCAAGAGTATCCCTCTGGGTAGCTAAATCAGGCAGTTCCAACTGGATCCCCCCCCATGAGGTCTGCCTCCAGGGGCAAACCAAGAATGGGCAACTTGGAAGTCCCTGATCAGACTCAGAAGTGGAATGGGCAGATCAAGAGACAACCTGGAAAAATGATATTACCTAGAAGAATCCTCCACCTTGTGCAACTGTGGAGCAGAACTCCGCATATGTATGCTTGTCCACAATGCCCTGCCTAATGCGTGGAGGAAGAACTGTTTAAAGCTACAATGTGGTTGCTGTTGCCCATTTTTGGTCAAAAATCATTTAGCCGCTTATAGTTAACAGCCTTTGAAGACTGCCCAGAAGCTTCAACTAGTCCAACGGTCGGCAGCCAGGTTGCTCAACAGAGCAACGTACAGGGAACATACAACTCCTTTGTTACGCCAACTCCACTGGCTACCAATTAGCTTCCGAGCACAATTCAAAGTGTTGGTTTTAACCTTTAAAGCCCTAAATGGTTCTGGCCAAATCTACCTGTCCGAACGTATCTCCTGCCACGAACCATCACAAAGTTTAAGATCTTCAGAAGGGGCCCTGCTCTCAATCCCACCACTATCACAAACACGGTTGATGGGGACGAGAGACAGGGCCTTCTCAGCAGTGACCCCCCGCCTATGGAATGCCCTCCCTAGAGATATCAGATTGGCCACCTCCCTCTTGTCTTTTAGAAGGAAAATCAAGACCTGGTTGTGGGACCAATTATTTGATCAGTGAACAGCAAGTGGAAGAAGATCACACAACTTATGGCAATGAATTGACCCGGACTGGTTTTTTGCATTTCGATTTTAATGGATATGTCTTAATTAATGGTTTAAATTGTTGTTTAAATTTTTAACATTTTGATTGTACTGTGGTTGTTTTAATCATGCTAGCATCGTATGATATTTTTGTTAGGCTGGCCTGAGTCCCCCTTCGGGGGGAGAAGGGCGGGGTATAAATATAGGAAATAAATAAATAAATAAATAAATAAATAAATTGTGTTCCCTCTATTATCAGTTTTATAGTTATTTATGCACGAAACAAATAAAACCACTATATATACTCATGAATAAGTTTTTCCCATGTATAAGTCAAGGGCAGGTTTTGAGGGCCCACATTATGGGTAGGTCGAGAGTCACTCTGTGCAGAGGGAAACGCTCCAATGCCATCTCAGGGAGCTGCTGTTTCCCCACCCGGCAATCAAAAAGGCTAGAATAGGCACCTTGGCAAAAAGACTAGTGGAAGTCCGTACTTGTTTCAGATTCTCCTGGGATAGACTAGGCTTTTGCCTTTCACCACTCTACTCAAAGAAGGGGAGGGGTCCTTTTTTATGTAAAAGGTTAAAATACGGTATTAACTCTCATCATTCCTCTGAGTGAGAGGAGAAAGGTGAAAGCCAGTCTGTTCTGGGAGAATCTAAAAGAAGCACTGAACCCCCTCTATTCTCTCAGCACTCTCTTGAGCAGAAACATTTTCCTGCCCAAGCATTAAAAAAATAATAATATCCAGGAGCAGTTCCAGAGGAGAGAGAGTAGAGGGGATGGGTGCTTCTTTTACGTACTTGTGTTATACTTGGATATACTAAGCTCTCACCTTTCACCACTCAATTCAGAGAAGGAAATGGTTTCTTTTTCAATATGAGATAAGGTATGATACTCAGATTGACTCATTGATAGATTTTGTTTTCATTAAGAGTTAAGGTACGATACTCACATTGTCCCATGGATATGTTCACCCAGACTTTGGGGGTTGATTTTTTGTCTACACATTTGGACTGGTTCTCAGTATGCTACTATTTTGCATCAGTGATTTTTAGGTTATGGTTTATTAATTCTTGGCATGCAGTTTGCTTTCCGGAGATAACACGAGAGCAAGATGAAAGCATAACGTATAAAAACTCACTTGTTCTCTGACAGATGTTTTGTTGGCATGAAGCATGACCAAATTTAGCAGCACCCACTTTCTGGCTAGTAGCATTTTGTGACTTTTTCCTGCACCTCAGGTTGGCTGCAACATTAGTTCAATTTTAACTTGAGAGCCAAGCAACTGGCATGTGCAAATTGAGAAAATCCCGTGCTCTGAAACAGCAAAGGAAAAATTATGCATGTCCACAATACAAAGGAAGTTTTAAGGGTAACATTTCCAGATAGCACTACCTCATTTTGGAATCTTAATATTATTTTACCTTTTACCTCTGTGTGAATGAGTGGGAGGTCACTTTTTGAGTATTTAAAGTAGTTTAAGGATGGTAAAACTCTTAATTTGCACCTTGCATTTCTTTTCAGAAAACAACCCCTGGTATTATCCCTTCAGGGAGATTATTGGCCTATGCTTTAAAGACCATTTATGTGACTATTATAAGATGCAATGTACTAAATGGTAGGATAAAAAATCTGTCAAGTGAGAGATTCGTGATACACTTGTTCACTTACATTATTCAAAACAAAACAAAGATTGTAGATTTAAATGAAACTTAGCCCAGAGTAAATATTGTGATCATATTCTTGGTATATTTGAAAATGCTGTTATTCTGATTCATATTTTATGCTGGTTTATACTCAGAAATTGTTCATACCTGTTAAGAGCCTTTTAGTATCTTCTTGTTCCTCTACTACTTTCATTCTTTATCATTAACTAATTCCCAGGAATATAGTACTAGATGTCTATTGACAAACCATTGCTAAAACTCAACTTATTGTGAGCAGATATCTAAGCCAATAGTTTATTAACTTTGCATTTTATATTGGGGTTTTTTTTTGGGGGGGGGGGTTGTTTGGGTTTTTTAAAAAAGGGAATTGTGCATTCACTCCCCCCTCCCCCCAGCAGAAGTGAATAATTCCTCTGGGGCTGAAAAATAAATTAAAATTTCCTTCTTGTGTAGTCATTAACATAGCCAATTTACAAAACCCTTTATAAGAAAAATGGCTTTGTAATGGGGACACTGTCAGACTCTTAACTACACACTGCTGGGAGCCGCTCTAATAACGTCTAATGCAGTTGTAGGGAAGCGAATCAGTAACAGAAAGCAAGATCACTGCTTGACTGCTCCCTTTCCTGACAGGAAGAAAAGGACAGTGATCAAGCTGAGGTCCTCAAAGGAGGCCCTTAAATCACTGGATAACATGAAGAATGGGATGATACACACAGGCTGCTGTAGAAAACATCTAACAAAGCATTTGAATTGTAGCGAGCTAGATAATTCTTGTAGGAACATTTAGGCGACTGATCTTTTTACCTTGCACATTAGAAAAGTGCCCAAAAGATAATGGGAAATGTTCAAGTGTAGTCTTTCTTTTTTAAAAGCTGTTTATGACATGGCATTAGTAATAAGGCACTGTGTCAAAAACTCCGCCAGGAAGGGAGGTGTTGAGCCCTGTATTGCCAAATCCTTGAAATCGGAGGCAGAAAAAAACTAAAACAAGTAAACACAATGTGCCTGTTTACCCCCCTTTTTAATGACATTGGAATATGGCCCCGTAGAAGATTCTCCAAAGTCCAAAGCAACAGAAGTATTTTAGAAGGTAAAGATAGAAAAGGGAAATGCATCTAGCTCCTTTGGTTTTGGCCATATGTGTTTTTCAAATTTCGGTGCAACATTTAAGATGATAGGGTAGCAAGGGATGAATTTATTTCAGTCCCTTAAACGCTCTATTAGACACACATTTGTTTTTGGTTAAACTACAAATAGAGGTTTGCCAGGAGTGGTGGCTACCAAAAGAGATCCAAGTTAGAATGGTTATTAATTTCCAAGCCTCAGAACATTGGAAGTAGCTTTGTTATTTAAAAAAAGAGACTAGGAGAAGACCAGAAGAAAGTGCTTACACTCCAAAGAACGGACATGGGATTGATTTAATCAATTCAATATGTATGTTAAAGGAAATATTCCTAAGGACAGTATTTGAGCTGGAACTGATGTAGCTTTTTCCCCTTTCTTTTTGACAGCTAGCTTCTGAAACATGGCGCAGTGACAATCAGTGACAGAAAGCGAGGACAGTCAGGTTAGTTCTTTTTGTTCCGTGTTGCTTTTAAATGGCATCAGATACAACTCTGGTTAGAACATGCCTGAAAAACTGTAATGTCTGACTCGTGTCACGTGTATATGGCCCACTTCAAACCAGATTCGGGCAAGTGTTTCCTTTCATTGTCATTGAGAGGACTTCAGTTGAAGAAGTTTGTCTGAAAAGTTCATCGTGCAGTAAATGAACTTGGAGCATGTTGATAGCAGATTCCCCAGAGCCTATAATTTCAGTGTGTTGCATATCACACCCTTCAGACAACCTATATACCAGATGCCTAGGGCTGTTGTGTTTAGCCACATACATTCAGCCTGGCCTCTGGAAATTTAAAAGAGCTCTGGAGAATGGAAGTACCAGTAACCTTCAAGACAGCTGTCAGAAGGTGATATTTAAAGGTCCTGACCATTTGAAAGCATGTGAATACTTTTGAAAACAGTACTTTGAGATGCTTCGGTTTACACAACACTTGCATATGCAGATTGGATCCTGACTTCAGAGCAGTGGTTTTTAACCTGTGAGTCCCCAGGTGTTTTGGCCAACAACTCCTATAAATATTATTATTATTATTATTATTATTATTATTATTATTATTATTATTATTATTATTATTATTATTTGAAGCACAATAAGATGAGTCCACAGCAAACAAGATCACTCTGCTGGCTGTTGTATTGGATCACACGTTGGACACTTCCCAAGTGTCTAGGACTGTGTGATGTATCGGCAAATAATGCATGCTGATCCCAATAAGGTGGCCTTCTGCAGCTGGCAGATGGTAATTTTGTCAGCGCCAATTGTATTTAAGTGCAGGCCAAGGTCTTTAGGCACTGCACCCAAATCAAATCAAATCAAAATATTTATTTCGGTCATTGACCAGCACAGGAAGTAGTGTCACATTTCCAGACAAACCTGGCATGTTTGGTACATTAAAAATATAAATATAACTACTAAAAACACAATATGGGTGAGGGAGCAGAAGGGGGAACAGGGTAAAAACATACAATGCCCAGATCCATCACCAAATTGTAGATTCAGGGAAGAAGATTACTGGACACACAGTTGACTTTTGGAAGGCACTGCACCCAGTGTGCTGATCACCACTGGGGTTACCTTGACTATCTTGTGCCAGAGTCTTTGCAGTTCGATCTTTAAATCCTCATATCATGTCAGCTTTTCCCGTTGTTTCAATCCTGCTGTCACCTGGGATTGCAGCATTGACAAACCATACTTTGTTTTTTAACACGATCGTGAGGTCAGGAGTATTGTGCTCCAAAACTCTGTCTGTCTGAATTCGGAAGTCCCAGAGTAGCTTGACATGTTCATTCTCTGTAACTTTTTCTGGCTTGTGATCCCGCCAGTTTTTGTATCCCACCTCCCATCTCCTGAAGGGAGTTGGGCGGCTTACGTGGGGCCAAACCCAATCAAAATAGTTAAAACATGACACAATTAAAATACATAGCAACAAGGTAAAGCAACACATTATAACAGTATAAAACAGGCACCAGAATCAACAACCAGGTATTAGGATTTCTGGGAGCTGAAGGCCAAAATATCTTGGGACCCACAGGTTGAGAAGCACTACTTAAGATAAACTTAAGATAAACAAGCAAGGAAAGCTTTAGAATGCAAAGTAATACTGCACGACAATATGATTGTTGTGTGAATGCAACCATATCCATCACATAAAAATCGCTTGTGTTTCTCTGAGATCATCATACAGTAGGAGACAAAATGTGATGCTGAGAGCCATTGGGTAAAAAGAACAAGATGACTTTTGGAGTTATTTGTATGTTTTATTGTTCTGTCGGCTTTACTCTAATTTCAGTTTCAGTTGATACTATTGATTATACTGAACAGTGCTTGTTCAGGCTATAGTATTGTACTCAATGTGCGGTAAAATGTTACTCTTTTCATAAGTGACTTGAGCATAAAAGGTGAAAGTATACAATTAATTTGCCAGCACTTCCTTTAAAATAGTATGCTGGATTTCTATAAAATGCTGCCTGGAGCAATATTCCAAGTAAATTATTGTTATTTACCATGACTTTTTTGCTTGCATATTTAAAGTCAACAATTATGTTTCCTTTTTATGCTTAATGGCTTTGTACAGTATTTTTAGAAACCTGGTCAATTCTTACTTCTCTGAGTTTGATAGTCTTAAAAATACATAAAATACAGCTTGATAGATGAGCAACTTTTTGAATCTATTAATGTACAATGATAATTTCATTTTCATAAATAAACCTATGGGAATAAAACATTTGAGAATATAAAACTATTGATAGTATTATTGGTTTTAGCTGGGACACATTGGTGGGTTGTGATACGAGTTAGTGGCTTCTACAGCCTCCATATTTGTGCAGGACCCTGAGAAAGTGGGAAAAAAGTGAATTGTACATCTCTTGTGCAGAGGTGTGGTCCTGATTCTATGGCATACATTGACCATAGAATCACTCTGGAGGAACTATGGACTTTTTGGGGTAACCTATTAATCAAATCTGCAAAAGTTAAACTTGCAAATGTGAAGGGTGAACTGTATTTATTCTTGACATCAGTTAAGCATGTGAATGCTCAATCTATCTATCTGTATGGTGTATATGAAACATAAATGAATTCCATTCGTTTCCTGTCCAAGTTCCTCATTATGCACAAATGTATGTATTCCAAAATCCAAAACATTTCTTGTTCCAAGCATTTTGGATAATGGATACTCAATCTGAATATAAATATACTGAACAAATAAATAACTGCTATTCTAAGATACCAGAACCCTTCTGAAAATAAATAGAATCTGCCCTGGTCTGATTGTGGAAGTTAAAGAGGGTCAGTACTGCCAACAAATGCCAGTTAGGCCATATTTCAGAGGAATGACCTGAAAATGAACACCCCACTCAGAATGAACACCCCACTCCGAAAAACCTATGAAATTCATGAGATTGCCATAAGTCAACAGATGACTTGAAGTCATTTACATTGTTTGAATAAGATAAAAGGATATGTCTTATGTAAATCCTTATACATAAGAGTCTGGTGAGCACCAGGCTGGTGAATTAATGTGAGTTGCAACCTAACATATAGCAACAGGTCAGTAGTAAGAACAAACAGCAATACCAGCCACAGAACTCTTGCTTAGATGCAGAATGGCCAATAGCTTGCATATGCCAGAGGGATCCTCAAACTTTTTAAGCAGAGGGATGGTTCAGAGTGTTGGGGGTGGACTATAGTTTGAAAAAATGAACTAATTCTGATGTGCACTGCACATATCTTATTTGTAGTGCAAAAAAAGCATGAACAATACAATATTTCAAATGAAGATCAATTTTAACCAACATGAACTTACCAGTTTTTCAGTGGGAAGTGTGTGAGCCTACTTTTGGCTCAGGATAATTACAATTATTGCTGTGTATCTTCAAGTAGTTTCAGACTTAGGGCAAGCCTAAGTCTAAATTTTTGGGCAGGGGCTGGATAAATCACCCTGGAGGGCCGCATCTGGCCCCCAGACCTTAATTTGTGGGCCCCTGATTTAATGTAATGAATATTGTTCCAAAAACAAGTAATCTTGGATTTATGCCCTTCATCTCTCCCGTAGCTCCTGGTAGGATGTTTTCATACTTGTGGTTGCTGCAAAATAGGACAATTAGGCAAGGATTCAATATGTCATCAGTGTTGTCTTCAAAGTATTTCACAGACTCATTGTAGTGCTTCCCTCAGGATTCCTTAACATTAATAGTAAAGTGTGATTTTAATAGCTCCCAGGCCACAAGAAAGAGTTTTGCTGCATTCCATGCTTTGGATTCACTGATGGCTGAGAAGAATGTCTTTTTTTGCTGCCAGTACTACTACTAAGTTAGGATCATTAATGTGTTTCTTCTAATGTTCACACCTGATGCAATTTTTCCAATTGCATTTCAACCATTCCTATTTATATGTTGGCCCCATTTGCATCTGCACATGTAAATTAGCATCATTTGCATGTGAACTCCATCTGCATCTGAGCCTATGCGCATCATTTCTTGCAGCTCACCAATGTACCAAGGTTCTGACTGGGCTCTGATTAGTGGAAGTGACTACCTGGAAGCAATTGTATGAATTGCCTGGGGTGATAACTGCATTACAGAGAGAAAATAGCATCAACAAGTGAGCTGCCAATGGTGATAGGGGATAACTCAGACATTTTTTAGAATCCAGATGGTCCCCTAAGGTAGGCCTGCACAATTTGTGGCCTTCCAGGTGTTTTGGACTTCAGCTCCCTGAATTCCTAATCATTGGTCAAGCTGGCTAGGGCTTCTGGGAGTTGGAGGTCCAAACCTCTGGAGGGTCATAGGTTGTGCAGGCTTGCCATAAGGGAGTGGTTTTCATCCTATGGGTCCCCAGATGCTTTAGCCTTGAACTCTCAGAAATCCAAACAGCTAGTAAACTAGCTGGGATTTCTGAGAGTTGTAGGCAAAAACACCTGGAGACCCATATGTTGAGAACCACTTCCGTAAGGTTTTAGAGTGGAGACTATTTTAACACCTATCATCCACCAATTCTGCAGATGGAAGGTGCTTGTAGGTTTGAATATCAACACAAAAATATGACCATAACAAAGCTGTCAATAGAAGTTTAGCCACTTTAAACTTCAATCCTCAATCACTTATGAAAAATAAATCAGATATCTATCCTGCTACATGTATCTAACTTACTTACTGGGAGAGACCTACAATTCATGATAATCATGATACCCCCAGTTTGGGTTCTGAGGTCTCCCAAAACCTGGGTGTCATTGATACATGTCCTAGGCCAGTGGTAGTGAACCTATGGCACATGTGCCAAGGGGCACTAAGAGCACTCTATGTGGGCCCACACACTGTTGCCCAACTGTAGGGCCTAGAAAGTCCCCACTACAAGCTCCCCATGTCAAGGTGCTGTTGCTGGCTCGCAGCATGGTGCACTCACTGCTGGCCGTGCTGGGCTCTCTTGAGAGGCTTTGCCTTTGCCAG